TTTACTATCATGATATATTTTTCCAATTGTATTTATAAAGTTGAATAAATAAATTAGTACTTATAATCAAAGTTTTAAGATCTAAGTCTTCAAATGTTAAGGACTAAATTGATACTAAACAAAAGTTCAGGGATTATTTCGGTTCCAAAAATTAAAGTTTAAGGACATTTTTAATACTTTTTAAAGTTTTGGAATAAGTTTGACCTAAATTAGAAAGTTGAGGGACTAACACGGTTATTTAACCAAAACATTTAGGTCCTTCAACTTTAAAGTTTACATATTTTTCGTCCCTCAACTTTTTTAATATTTTTTTTAATCTTTAACTATGAAAAATACAATGTTTTATAGTTAATTAAAAGATACGAAATGCAGAAAACGGTAAGACATGAAAATTTGCCCATATAAAACCTTCAAAACTCACAACAATCATATATATTCACCCTAAAATATGATCAAAACAACAAATCTAAAAATCCTAGCTAATATCAAATACTTAATATAAAAATTTTGTCATTAATGGTTGAAATTTCACTAAAAATTTATAAAAACATTATTCATAACTATTCATCAAATTTATCTAAAAGAAAATCTAATAATTTTAACTAATATCTAATGAACTAATTCATAATAATATTTAATGGTTTAAATTTCAAAAAAAAAAAACAAAATATACATAAAATATATAAAAAATAATAATACTACTTAAATTTTACTTACCACTGCTCGATCCACTAAATTGCAAGAAGAAAAATGTGTTAAAGTTCTTCAAAGGGAAGAATGGAGGAAAGGGAGCAAGAACAACTCGCGGGACAAGAGGAAAATGAAAATGAAAGGAGAAAGACCAAAATGAAGGTAGAAAGGCGGGTCGGCAGGGCAATAGGTAAACTTATCGACGAAACCCACGTTGCTACAGTCTAAAGCTGATCATCTCTGCATTGCATCAGGATTCTCGTTGACCGAGCCAATCACTGACGAACATTAAGTTGGCAATGCATATATTACCGACCTACTTCTTATCGGTAAGGAAAATAAAAGCTGCAACACCAGTGGCCAGCAGCTGGATTCGCGGGGAGTTGCTGAATGGCAAATTACCGACAAGGATTATGTCGGAAAATTGCATCAAAAAGCTGCACTCCCTGACGCAGGCAACCAGTTGGTGCATTGGGAGTGGAAATTATCGAGAAGATGGACGTTGGAAATTGATCCTCAATTACCGACGAGACTATCGTTCCAAAATTGAATTTACAGGCGTGCTTCTCGTCGGTGACATGCCCTTCCGTCCTTCCCCCACCGGCCGGAGTGGTGGCTGCAATTACCGACAAGTAACATGTATGTATAAACTTAAATTACCGACAAGTGTTACGTCTGTATAATAAATAATATATCTTACTAGCATATCTACTGTTTCTCAAGTTGCAAACTTAAATCTCGTCGGTAAAATGATGCCTCATCGAGAAAGCTTCTTACCTCGGTGATATGTGGTCTGTGAAGCTAGGTTTTCTTGTAGTGTAGGAAGACAAACACAAAATAGAGAAAAATATGTATCCATATATAAGTTGCAATACCATTTGAGCACCACAAGCATTTACACGAGTCTGAATCATAATAATCCAACAATTTATTTAGCTTAGGAGGGAGTAAGAGGATAATCTAAACAATACTAAGATAAACTACATTCACTAGAACTTAATGCCATACCGGCAGTCATGTCAGAGAATTGTACAACTGTTACCCCTAGCTTTTTTCGGCGGCTGAGCTAATTGCTTGCGCAGCGCCTCAGTCTGAATCCTTGCTTTTTCTAGATGCGTTGTCAGCTCACGTATTTCATTATTTGATATCATTTGTGCCATCTTTTCTGCCTCTAGTCTTGTAGCTTGCTCCTCCACCAACTTTTGTTCAAGTTTAGATGTAGCTTCTTTGAGCTTTGACTCAACCTATGTGAATAACAAAGCAAAACATATATTTTCAAATAAACCTATAGCATATAATTAATTTATTGTTGACCAACAGCATATAAATAGTTCATTAACTGAAACAGAACTCTCTCCTATACTTTACGGTCTGTTTAGTAACATTGATGTTTTTATTTTTGTTTTTGTTTCTTTTATTTTTGTGCTACTATTTATGAATGAGACCACGCAAGCACACAAATGTAATAGATAATCTCAATTTTGCTCTTGTAAGGACAGGGTCGAGGTGCCCAACCTCGGACAAACGACAGTAATTCCTTTATGACCGAAGTGAAGGATAAATCCAAAGAGTCCTCCGCTCAAGTAGCTGGATGACAGCAACAGTAGGCATGCCCACACCTGATCCATCATGATGAGCTGCATAGCAGTTACGATGGACATCCTTGCATCCGAATATCTCTCAAATTCCTGGTCCCGAAATAACCGTCTGGAGATACACGTAAGATCCCGAATATCTTGCTTGGCATGCCGCATGGGTTCCTCACTGGATCCTATAAATACCCCCCAGGGCCACGTCAAAAAGGTGATTGAAGCCAACCCTAAGCTCTTCTTTTCTCCGCTCTAAAGGTGACCCCGATTATTGCTGACTTAAGCATCGGAGTGTCTACCCCGATGACCCACCTCGGGGCTTTGCAGGTCAATCCGGAGTACAGATATGGACTGGAGAAGGACGTTTGGTTTGGTGCAATTACATTTGGCGCCGTCTATGGGAATCCGAACTAAAAGCTCCCTTGTTGCTCTTATCATGGTTAAAACTAGGTCAGTCCGAGATGGAAACTCGTCTTAGCCTCTTGGACGAGGTTAGGTCCCCAGCAACCTCCCACCTTATCTCCCACCCCCAATCCCAAATACACTCCCTCATGTTGACCATGCAGAAGGAGGAGATGAAAATCAACTACACAATTCGGCTCACAATTCAGCCTCTACTGCCAACCAAGACGTAGTTGCAGCTCAACTCGCTACCATGCAATAACAATTTGGTGTCTTTCAGCTAGTGCTGGCTCAACTATTAGCTTGGAACAATCTTGGTGATCCACTCATCAACCTACTCAATCTTGCTCCACAACCCCCAGCTCCACAACAAAACCCTGAACCAATTCAGCATGCTCCTGCTATTAGTGAATCTCAGGGCCAATCTCACATCGC